CGCGTGACGTAACTTCTATGTACATTTTATACGTAGAAATGACGTTTTATCCCCACTCCTAAACTTTGATTCGTTTTATCTAAGTATTGTTTTCTTATACGACAAAATAATAAAATACGTGTCTAATATTTTTTCAAACCTAACTGACGGACTAATTACATTTTTATTTTCATACCCTGTCATCATCCCTATTGTAATAGCAGACTAAGACCCCTGGTCAATTGTGTAATCGTTTGCCATCCCATAAAACTTATAAAAAATTACGTCTCCGCATTTATAGGGGCACAGAAAAAAAAAATAGGGAAGCACGCAAAAAAAATAGGGGCGCCTATGAAGTACTTGTCTAGGTTTAATCTGCCTCTGCCTATTCGTAAACGATTACAAGCTATCAGCTACTACAAAGGGAGAATGTAGATAGATACCGTAGATATAAGTACCTACAGCCACATTTTTATACCTGCTGAGATCCTGTGAAACTTTGTTTTAATTTATCCACACCAAGAAGTTGCCTGATCTGTTTATCTCTCTCCACGGGGTCAGTGATGGAACAGTCGTCGCCAATAAAGTGTTTGATTGGAGCTGTAACATTATAAAATTATATTAAATACATTGTTTAATTCTTCTAAATGATCAGTTCCATTCATTCTTCAGCTGTCTGATCTCGTAAAGAATGGAATATCTATATAAATATGTTTTTTTAAGGGGACATCATCGAATGAGTTCTTCCGCCTTCAGGCGGGAGGAAGTGTCGGACTCTTACTAACCAAAAACTTCGGGCCGGAGTCCCGGCAACCCGTTAAGTCCTTAGCGGCTCCGTATCGGCATCAGCCCTATTAAGCCCGATCCGTGTATAATTATGTTAAACATTTAAGACCTAACAAAACAACTACATGATGTTGATTATTTTGCCTTGCAGTTTTGTGAGAGATTTAGTAGACATATTTATTACTAATCTAAATACAGTCTCACCTAAGAATTCCGTTGCATCTGGAAGAGTGGTGGCGATCTGAGCCGTGAAACAAGTTTGAGTGTTCTTTAAGTTATTGTGGATACCTCTATCTTCACGCCTAGTATTTATAAAAAAATGATTAATTTTTCAAGTTCTGGTTTATTAATCACAATGTTGAATGGAAGTACTTGTCTAAGAATTGACGCGAAACTTTAAAAAGCAATAAAAAATAAATCTACCTGTGAGAAATCTCAAGACTATCTCGTATTGTAAGTCTTGAAACTTGAGTGTCTAACGGAAACTCATCGTCTGAGGGCTGAAACGAAAAAGTATTGGATAGATACATCTAGGGAGTCTTATCTTCGGTTATGTCGATGTTAAGTTGTCAGCCATTCGAGTCATTTCTAAAAATCACTATAGTCAAATTTTAATATATGAATATCATGAACGAACGATAATTAATGTCAAGCAAGTGGGAAGATTACGGTGCCTGTAGATGTTCGCGCAGTTGGCGCTCCACTCTACAGATACTTACATTATTATAAATCGACAACGACTTCGATTGCGAATCATTTTGCCCTTTGCTCTCTTCCTTTTCGACAATGATCTCGGGCACATACATAAAATTCTCTAACGAAACTGAACAATCCTGTTCCTCATCATATTTTTGTGAACCCATATCTTTTAGTGTCTTTCGAATTGTCACGTCGGTCGACCGTTTATCATGATTGAACAAGACATCGTAGTATTCTCCATCGCCGTCTATATTTATTGTAACTTTAGAATTATCAAACCTGGCAGGAATGGAATCCTTCTGGCTCATTTGATCAGTTAATTGCTTTGTATACGTCTCGATTAATGTTCTTTTTTTCCGAACGTGCTCTGTATTAGTTCCCATTTCATTTATTCTGTTCGTAGTAATTCTCGAGTATTCGTCGTCTTCGTAAACCTGGGATGCATTAGGTACAGTATAAGTTTCCTGATTTCTGGCACGCGATGAAAAAGGATATTGTTGTTTTTTTGATATTTGCGTCCCGTTAGATTTAGATCCTGTGTAGGGTTCCCTTTCTGATACTTGTGTACCGTTACTGGCAAAGAATTGTGGACTTTTAGGTACCTGAGTAGCATTCGACACCTGGGTAGTTCGAGGAAACCTTATTGGTGAAGGCTTTTTAGGGTATTTTAAAGATGGAGTGGCAACAACGTTCCTGGAATGTTTCACTGGAGCTATTTCCGGTATACTGTCTGTGATATTATTATCTACGAACTGCGTACCGTTAGACGCCATACTCTGCGGCCCATCCGAATACTGAGTTGCATTGGACACGGTGTAAGTTTGCCGCTTCCTCACAGAGACTTGTGTTCCGTTAGACGCCTGGTATACTTGATTATTTTTATTCGAAACTTGCGTTGCATTAGACAAAGCGTGCAATGGGTTTTTTTTAGAGACTTGTGTTGCATTTGATACAGTTATATTCTGAAGGTTTTTAGCAACCTGAGTTGAGTTGGCCGTATTGAACTTTGAAGGAGGCTTTCGCGGACTAGGGTCGTGTTTTAATAATTTATCTTTTTCTTGTATCTTTTCTTTTATTGCTCTGAGTGCTCTTTGCCTATCAGGACTTTTTTTTTCACTGACTTGTGTTCTTACTGATTCCTCTAGAACCTTTTTTGCAGGTGACGGTGATCGACTAGCTGCAGGACTTCTTTTTTTTGATTCAATTGCACCTCTTTTTGGATTTTTCTCTGTCTTTGTTAGTTGATTACTCGTGTACGTCGCCATTCTCGTCGGTGAAGAACTTCTAATAGTATCAGGGCTATTAACTGACTGCACAGTATCTTCTGGGCTCGATTTTGGATAAACTGATATGATGACAAGGGGGCTATGACAGTCTTTTAGAGTGTTTTGATCTGATTTATTTGTGGGCCCAAAGCTACAACTGCACTGGACTTTTTTGTCAGAAAACGATGAACTCCTCGCTTTCGTCATAGCTACATTGCATTGCACATTAAAATTGACTTGAGTTCCATGCGATTCTTTGCTGTAACTAAAAGCTATTTTGACATATTTTATTAATACTTTAGAAGAATTTAAATTTTAGCTTAGTAATAATATTTTACCTGGGTTCTTCTTCTACGATAGGAGGTTTGTCATAGCTTACGTTGTAGTCAGCCTGTATGCACGAGTCTTTTTGCATCCTGGGGGTCGTATAAATCGATATATGTACTTAATTTAGAAGCAAATAGTTGACGTATAATAAATAGGTATGAATGATTAGTGATGAGACATTTTAATAAAACTTACGTTGATTGTGCGTCTGTGGTTCCGTATGAAGTTGTGGCAATAATTGGTGAAAAGTCCCTCGTCAGCTGAGCGACGTCTGATAAAACTAGAACAATAAAATAATTAAATTAACTTCATAGTAAAGTTTAAGGTCTCTACCGTAATAGCTGAGTTGATAACAAATAATTTGTGCTGATTACGATAAAACATTTTTTTTTATGTGTGTAAGACATTTTTTTGCGTCATAATCATACTATTATATTAGTTTATTTTTTTCACTTACTCTTTTAATATTTTCAATGTATAGAATTTACACTTCCACAGTTTTATTATATGTATAGAAGATATACCTAGATTTGTTAATCATAATCATCACAAGTTTTAAATCTATTTATACTAAGTAATAATTTTATCTGAAAACTATACCTTGTTTATCGTTAATAGTAGCTCCGTATCTGAGCACATATTTCTCATCTTCAGATATACCGAACTGCCCAAAGATCTTTACTCGACTTTTTTTCGGTGATTCATTTGATTCATCTCCACACAAGCAGTCTTGGCAGCTCGGGTACCTCCACTCGACAGAGGTCTGCTGGGGAGCATCACTGTTGTCCATCAATGCTTTCTTTTCCTTTTTTTCTTTCTTCTTGTTTCGATCCATGTTTAAAGACTGGATCAGATGTTTGAAGTTCGATAGTTCTTTAATTGGTATGTCATCATCTCTTATATAACTGTCGTGGTCGGACGAGAGCTTCGCACTGCCTGTAGTCTTGATCTCATATATTTTCTCTCTTCTTCGACCTGCTACTATTAAGTACACGTTCTTGGTTTGTACTGAGTTCTCGTGGTTCGATGTTGTGCTCTGAATTTTCTTAGGCACGTATCTCCGCCTCCGAAGTAGTTTTGCTGTTTGTATCTGATCCGTTTTAGGTATGACCGTTACTTTTATTAGAGGTTTCTCAACAGGATTCGGACTTCTTTCCGATTTTAGTACCGAAGGTGTTTCGTTATCCGGATGCTGTAAGCTTGTGTAACTTACGATTGAGTAATGTTCTAGTATCTGTAAAAAAACAAGAAATGTAAGTCACGATTCTATCATCAGATTTATATTGTCTTAACGAAACATACAATCTTGTGAATGTTATAATGATCTGTATAGACTGACCTGTCTCTCGGAAGTTTTCTTAAGAACCAGTGAGGTGGAGGAGTCGGAGCTATTTTTAATAATAGGTTTAATATTCTTTGTGGAGCTGGATGTTCGTCGAGCGAACTTGTTTCGAAACCCTCGCAACAAGTGCACGTCGTTCGCCTCAGTGTTATACACACTACCAAACTCTCTGCTAGTATGAAGCCTTTTCACTGGCGGACTCAAAAAGTCCAGTGATTCTACAAATAAAAAAATATACAAATAAAATCACAGAACAAAATAAAACTATCAATTTTTATAAAGACAAAACCAAAATTAAATCAGACCAATAAATTCAGACTCAGCGCTGTAACAGTCCATAATGAATTTCGAGGCTACATTAAACAATATTAAATACAAATATTATCACTACGAAGCCACATTTTTCGGGAGTAAAATTTTGACACTGATCTTAGTTTGGCAATATCAGTTGACATCACTTGTTTTCTTTTTTGTTGGCATAAATAATAGTATATGTTTCCAAAAGACCAATAAGAATTCAAAAAGGAGCTCCTATTAAATAATAGTCAAAGACAAAATCTAAATGTCACACATTACTTTTATTGATAGGTTATCATCTCATCATGTTGATTATTTACAAAATTTTTAATCCTGTAAGCCTTTAAGTACAATATAAAAAAACAAATGACCATCCTAACTGGTAATTACCATCCAACTAGCGATAGTGACTTATTAGAAGTAGAAATTTTGTTGTTGGATATTTTGAACAAAGTGGAAGCTAGTGGGAGCCAGTGACAAAATGGATGAGAGGCCTATAGATGAGACGACGCTGACGACGACAATAAGGCTTCCCGAAAAGATGAGAACTGGTATGATAATCCCAATATCAAAGAAGACCTTCTTCAACACAAATTGGAAGCCAAAAGCAGCTCCCCTCTGCGCTTACGACATGCTGTACCACCCACCCGACTACAATCCTAAGTCAGCTCGCTCCGATCGACAGGAACCTAAAATCATCCGAAAGAATATTTGGGCCCAAGTAATTTGACTCCTGGATTTATTACTTTTAAGCCGGATTGAAAGAGTATTTAATTTCGTAAATTTGTGAATTCATCATCATGTCATAAAATGTCCACGTCACACGCACAGATCATATTTTTTTTAAGCGGGGAAAATCACCGAATGAATTCTCCCGCCCGGGTGAGGCGGGAGGGAGTGTCAGACTCTTACTGACTAAAAACCACCCCGTTCCTACTCCTCCACTTCGAGCCGGAGCCCCGGTAACCCGTTAAGTTCTCCGCGGCTTCGTATTGGCATCAGCCCTATTTGGTCCCATATGTGGTGGTCTGATGGCTCTTTGAGGCGCGCGCGGAACGCGACGCGCCGTACGCTCGGGTCACACAGATAAATATTAGATCTACAATGTAATACAATAATATTAAAGACCATCTTCTGCCAGCGGATTCACCCTCGTTCCTGTGGAATAAAAACTCTACCCCTGTTCCAAATTTCATCCAGATCCCTTTAGCCGTTGTGACATGAAGGAGTAACAAATAAACATACAAACTTTTGCAAATATATATTAGAGGGAGTGGGTTTCTATCTTAGATGCTGGTTAAAATTAACCCTGACATTCTCTCTCTCTCATAATTTAGGTCTTCAGAAAATAGACGAAAATAAACGAAGGCGTGATATTCATGTGAATGCATTTTTGTGTTTTTGAATTGAAATACTTTGACTTTGACTACAGGAACGCCACAAGCTTATACCATCTACTACCCATTTTGTCCATGGAAGACCAACATGGCCGATCCTCGATCGACCCACTAAGCAGTTCGTGAGGATAGTCGGTAAGATTTAATTTATATGTAGGTATTTATTTTAAGGGATCTGTTAAAGGTTTTTCTCGCATCAAGTTGCAATAGTGTAAATGTTACATTAATTAGGTCAAGTATACGATTTACGTAACTGTCCGAAGAAGTTACTCAATAAGTCACGCTAGGGTCTCATGGTTTTCCGATTAGTTTCTAGCTACGCAAGAGCCCATAATAATTAGTAAGGTAGTGACGTGAGTAAGCCGATTTAAAAAGAGTAACCAGAACGATTTTGCTCATCCTTTTCCAAAAGGTTTTACTTTCTGAGAAAGGCAATTTTAAATTACTTTCAAAGTGCATTTATGGTCTAAATAGAGTTAAAACACCTTTTTTGATGACGGGGGAAACCTTCAAAAGGCGCCTAGCTTTTTGGGGATAAAAGTCTAGGGAGTATGGGATTTTTACCTCACTAAAACTACCCCGGTGGCCACCCTCAACACCTGTATGAAGGCACCGGGTCGTCTAACAGAGACCTGCTCCGGAGCCTCCACGGTGCAACGCCTGTTACGTTAGGGTTGAAACACCTAATATATTCATTTTTATTTGATTTCAGTGAAAAATGAGAATCCTCATATGCGTATCAACCATATACTGGAATGGGCTGAAGTAGCCGACGAAGGATTGATGTCACTGTGTATTTAATCGACCTCCGAACTATAATTATGTTTTCGTCCTTTATTAAGATTTTAGGATAAACTGAAGATAAAGTTAAAGTAAATAAATGAATCCTTTTTTTATTTTTGCCTTTTTATTTATCCTTTATGGTGTGCTGTGGTCGGTGCTTTTGATTATGAAGCTGGTATTAAGTCTCTTTATTACAGTAATTTTACCTACCTGCCCCATAGGAGATGCATGATAGTATGTATTATGTAGACAAAGGTATGGTAAGTAAACCTTAACTGACGAGCATGCATGAAAAGACTGACGACTGTTGAGGACGCAGAAGAGGTATTTAAACTGTCAAACACCAAGCGGTCACCGGTGACCGCAACCTATTGTTCTATAATTGTGTCTACAAAACCGGTACTCGACGAGTTAAGAATCGTAGCTATTACCGTTCCATAGTCTCTGCCTAACCCCACGGGAGACAGGCTTAGGCGAGATTATGTCCTGTATGTAATTATGTTATGCTAAATATTCTTACTTGATAAAAGTCTTGTTTCGTCTGCTGGTGGACTTCAGTTAAAAACTGATTATAATGAAGTTTTGGTACAGATATTCCGACATAATATAATATTAATATAGCTTGGCCCGCGGCTTAAAGTAGCAAGTGCATGCAAGTGCAAGTGCATGAGTGCCCACTGAAAATCAGTGCTGGGTGACTTGTATGCCTGGCTTACACTGAGTGGGTGAACCTTTTAGCATAGGCCTCTCTTCTAATTCTTCTGTTTTAATTTTTCAACTCAATGTTTTTATTACTTCCACTGTCACACCTTGATTGTCTTTTTTATATTTTAATTGTGCTGCATCGTGCCTAGTGCTGAATAAATATTTTATCTTTCTTTCTTCTTTCAAGTAAAAATCAAATGTGATAGTTTAACACAGGTTGAATTTCCTTTATGCAGTTCGGTAAAGGAAAGGGGATAAAGACCTCCTTCTATAAGGAGTTTCAGCCGACGAAAGATAAAAGGAGGAAAAAATAAAAGACGATAAAATAAAAACAACAAAATGATAACTATAACCTCCAATATATTTTGAGTTTTACGCAATACGCACCAATTACGCATAACTCTTTAATTTGGCCTGAAATAACAGGACTTGTAAAAAATGCGTATTTTATTATCGCGCGTTGATAGGCAGAACACAGCTCCGAACACAAATAGTCATGTTTTAGGAAATCGAACCTGTACTACAAGGGACGATTATGTAAATGAATGAGCATAAATATTAGGGTTTATGTAACAGACATATTTTAACGCATTTGTCACCTTCAGACGATAAGGTGCTCGACATTTTGCTTGGTAGCAAAATTTTAGTTTTAATCGAAAAGTTAAGAAGAATCTGTGTTAATGTAAGTTGTACTGTAATTTATTTTAATCACATGATATTTGTACATATGTAAGTATTACAGGGTTTTTAAATATTCTCAGTAGTAGCACGGAGTCTGGGACTCATAACACAATGTAAATGTAAACAATGTAAGACCCACTTTTCACTATTTATGTTATGAGTCCCATGTAATAGGGGGTGAGCTTATTGCCTTATACCAGGCACATTTCCAGACTCCGTGCTACTTTTTCTTATTTTCTATCTTATATCCCGCAACACAGCAATCTGTTTATAAAACTTTTTCTTGGCTGACTCATTGTCTGAGTGTGGCATATTGCATTGAAGAGAAGTATCCAATGAATTTCCCTTCCTACTGGCTGTTGAATCGGTCTATGAGGTTAGGTACACTGCTCCTCTTCAGTGTTGCAAATTGGATACTTCCAGATCCCGATAACTTAGAAGCAAGGGTATTGACATGCTTAGATAGCTTTTTCTGATAGTTTAAGCCTCTCTGAGAAATTTCTTCTCTAACAGTTTTTAGCCTTAGGTCTTGTAAAATGTATTTGTTGCTAATGCTTTTGGGTATATTGTACATGCATCTCATTGTCTTCATTTGAAACCTTTCCAGAATTTCTATATTGCTGGTACTTGCTGTTCCCCAGAGCTCAATACCGTATGCCCAGATCGGTTTCAGGATAGCCTTGTATACTGCCATTTTGCTTTCATTCGATAGTTTTGAGTTTTTACCGATCAACCAGTACATATTTCGAAGAGTTGTGTCGAGCTGTTTTCTTTTAGTCCAGATGTGTTTCCTCCAAGTTAATCTTCTGTCGAGATGCATGCCAAGATATTTAGCAGTTTCGTCTTGCGGTATTTGTTCTCCATTAAGTAGAACAGGAGGGCAGTTTCCTTTTCTTAAGGTAAAAGTGACATGGACTGACTTGGTTTGATTAGCCTTTATTCTCCATTGTTTCAGCCATGTTTCAACTTCATTAAGGTGATTTTGCAGGGTTTCCGATGCGATATCTGGATCCTTATCCACTGCCAGAATTGCAGTGTCATCCGCATAGGTGGCCATGGTGGTATGTGCGTGAGTGGGTACATCTGCAGTAAACAGAAGATACAAAACAGGCCCTAGTATGCTGCCCTGTGGGACTCCTGATTGTATTTCGTACAATTCTGATGTCTCACCGTTGAATTTGACTTCATAACATCTTTTGCTTAGGTAACTCTCAAGTATTGGAAAAAAGGAGTGTGGCAGAGACTTCTTGATTTTGTACAGTAGACCCTCTTGCCAGACCTTGTCAAAGGCCTGACTAATATCCAGGAATGCAGCCGAACAATATTGCTTGGTTTCAATTGTATGACCGATAGTATCTGCCAATCTGTGTACTTGCTCGACGGTACCATGGCTATGTCGAAAACCAAATTGATGTTCTGGAAGTACTCTATCTAGGTGTGGATTGAGACGATTGATGATAATCCTTTCAAAGATCTTACTGAGAAGAGGGAGAAGACTAATTGGTCGGTATGACGACACTTCCTCTACAGGTTTGCCAGGTTTAGGGATCATAACAACTTGAGCAATCTTCCACTGGCTTGGATAATATGAGAGCCTCAGGCAGGCATTAAAAATGTTTACTAAGTAGATTATTCCTTTTCTCGGCAGGTTTTTCATCAGCGTGGAGTCTATAAGGTCATATCCAGGGGCTTTTCCAGATTTCAGAGCCATAATCATCTTATCTATCTCTTTAGGACTTACTGGTTTAATAGGTGCACAAAGCTGGTAAGGAGATTTTAAGTAGGTTATAATTTCTTTATCAGTTTCTGGGTTATTACTGGGGAAAGGTTTGAAGACACTCTGAAGATATTCAGCAAATACTGTTGCTTTTTCTAGATCGGATCTAGCCCAGTCCCTGTCCTGTTTCCTTAATGGTGGAACATGGATATCCGGTCGTTTCAATTTCTTTGTTGCGCACCAAAGTGAATACTTGGTGTCTTTATGGGGAGTTAAGTGGGCCAATTTACTCTGCACTGTGTGATTCTCCAGATCTTTGATAAGTATCTTTATTTCTTCTGTAATTTTATTAAACTTGGTTTTATCTGAAGGATACCTTGTTTGTTGCCATTCTTTCCTCAATTTTCGCCGTTCTTGGACTTTGTCTCTTATTAGTTTGGGGTAGTTTTTCAGTTTTAATTTAGGGTTTTTTTGTGTAGGTGTAGTTAGACAGGCGGCAGTAAGAATAGCTGTATTGAATTTTTGAATGCTTATTTCTAGGTCCTCTGGCGATTTTAGTTTAATTTTTAGATCTAATGTTTCACTGACCATTTCTTGAAATTGTTTCCAGTTAGTTTTATGATTATGTAGTTTGATGGTAGTTTCTTGCAGGATAACTTTTTTGTACACATTTAGGATTACTGGGGTATGATCTGAAGATAGGTCATCACACGCTTCTATTTTTATGTAACCTCTGCCAATATTTTTTGTTATATAGAAGTCTAATAGGTCAGGTATCTTGTTTTGGTCTGTGGGCCAGTATGTAGGTTGACTGTGGGATATCCATTCCAGTTTTAGATCTAGTGTACTTCTATATAGTTGTCTTCCTCTAGGATTGATAAGCCTTGAACCCCAATTAGTATGTTTGGAGTTCCAGTCTCCTCCACAGATGAAACGTGTGCCTAATTGGCTGAAAAACATCTTGAAATCATCAGAGGATATTACATGTCTTGGTGGACAGTACACAGCAGACACAGTAGTCAATTCCGATTTATGCTGAATACAAATAGAGGTTGCTTGTATTTTATCAGTTTTATATGGTTCAAGGACGTGGTGTTTTATATTACTTTTGACTATAACGGCTGTCCCTCCATGTGAGTTTCCAGATGGATGTTCAGTCCTATATATGCTGTAGTTTTGTATTTTAATGTATGATTGACGTGTTAATCTCGTTTCAGATATTAGAGCAATATCAATGTTTTCAGTATTCATAAACAGTTCAAGCTCTTGCCTCCTATCAGTTAGTCCGTTGGCATTCCAGGTAATCAACCGGATATTTAGGCCCTCTGGGTTACTATCTGTGTAATAAGTTGGATCATCCGATCCATCATGCTGTCCATCATGTTTTTCATGATTGCTTCAAATTTATTGAACATGGTGTCCAATAGGCTGGCTATATGTCCTGATTCATTAGGAATGTATGGGGTGTTGTTGTTATTATGGTTTCCAGTTTTACCTTTTAGCGTATCTAAATAACTTCTTTCGGGTAAGGTTGTTTTGAAGGTTTCATTCATGTAGTGTATATTGTTTGATCTGGTTCTTTTGTATTCTTGACCTGTATGTTGTTGGATTCAGGTTTGATTTTAAGTATCTTTTCTTTGTATTCTCTGTATTTTGAGCATCCCTTATAGCTTGCCGGATGTTTGTCATGGCAGTTAACACATGTAGGTTCTGTCTCCGGAGTTTATGACATGTAGTAGTTGGATGATCATTCCCACATTTTACGCATCTAAATGGTCGAAAATCTCTGGCATCTCTTACATTGTATTACTTCCTTCTTCTTGTAAGGTGCTTCGATCGTGACTTTCACTTGACCAATATGTTTAAGATTGAAGATGTCTTTATTGTTGGGCCTTGGTTCCAAGTCTAGGAAGTACATTGGGAGTTTTTCTTTGG